TTAAACTTACCCGAAGAATAAAATCAATTTAACAATATTAATTTTATATAATATAAAATTTAATAATATATATAAATAATATATATAATAAAATAATATATATAAAATTTAAATTATTATTAAATTAATTATTATTAATATTAAATTAATATATTTTATATATATATATAATATATATAAAAATATAAAATGAATTAAAAAATTTAATATATCTTCAAGAGAGAGCCGTGTTACATTTATTATAACTATCCACGAGAGGTGGACAAGCTCTCATCGAGTTGTTGCGACGATTAAAAAAATTCAATAAGAGATCGAGAGATAATCAAGGAAGTTGTATACGTGCGAATCGTATATACATATATATATCAAAAGTTTATTTTGTTGGAGAGGCGTCGGGGAAGGAAACGATCAGATTTTTCAGAGCGGGGCGGAACGGCCAATTAAAAAGTTGGGGGTTAGTTAAAGAACGAAGACGACGGCGGTGATGCGGTTGACTCCGCCGAGAGTAAGTTTTGCAGGGAAACGTGGAATTAATTTGGAACGGCTGCCGGCTATGCGGCGGGCTAACACCGCCGTTCCGCCAACGATAATTAATCGTTATGCGCGCAATTCATATCGTTCATTATTCCCGTTTAACGTTTCACGTTTCCACTCGTTTTGTCATCCGATTTGATCTCTTTCTTTCTTTTTTTTTTTCTCCCCTCGCAAAATGAACAAAACAAGGGAATTGTTGTCTTCGTCTGTATTTCTTATACGGATCTTTAATATAATTAAATTTAATTTAATTATATAATTTAAAATTTCGAACGAATTTTATGAAAGTCGAGTGGAAAGGAAGTGCAATTATAAATAAAAAAGGAAAGAGTTTTATTGTGATAAATTGTTTTTAAAATTAGAAATTTTTTGAAAAAAAAAAAAAAAAGAAAAAAGGAAAAATGTATACTCGAAATGTAAAGAAGAGCGTATTGATAGAAATTTAAAATTTAATCAATGGAATTGGTACGGCTATTATTATTATTTGAAATTGTTATATCGCAGTTATATTATTTAATTCGGAAGGAATTAATCTTTCAATATTTTCATTTCGAACAGTATGAATGATTAACTAGATGGAAATTCAATAATTTGTTACGTTGGCTGGGAACGAAGAAGGGATCAATAATGGCGTTTCCCGGTTTATATCGTTAATTTCTCTACTTAATCATTCATAGGTTAATTTAAAATTATATACAAAATAGAACGAACGACAATTGTAATTATGATACAATAAAACGAGGAGGGAATTTGATCGAGTTTCTCTTGATTTCACGCGATTTCTCAAGCTCCTTAATATCCAGGGAGAGATGTATCGAAAATTCTCATTTCGAAAAATTTTTCTTTCGTTCAGAGAATTTTTCGTTCAGATTTAAGGGTAAGTTTTTTTCTTTGATCGGTTGAACCGATTTAATTACATCCAGATCCGCAAATTTTTTGGAAATAATAATTATAATAATTCTTAATAGTGAATCTCGACGAGGATAAAAAAATCGATAACGTATCAAAATTTTTTTGAGATTTCGAATTAAATATTTAACTTATATAATTTCTAAAGTTTTACATCGAACGAATATTTTTGTTCTTCTCCTTTGTACAAAATACAAAGAATGGGAGAGAGAACGAAAAATTTATTGTGAAAACGTAAAGGGAATCGTTGTGACCGTCTGTACTTCGGATCTTTGACAATTTAAAATTTCGAACGAATTTTATGAAAGTCGAGTGGAAAGAAAGTGCAATTATAAATAAAAAAGGAAAGAAAAAAAGTTTTCAATTCGACGTGAAAATCGCATCTTCGAAACGATCGAAAAATCAACGAGTATCGAAGCTTTATTCGACGAGCCAATCGAAACGAATCGATGAAAAATCTCGCTCCCCGTAATTAAGTGTAAGGCACTGGAAAACCCAGCGAAAGGGACAAGATATGGGCGGACACGTTCGCTACTCGTGACAAGAAGTCGAGTGGTTTTCCACGCGCGAGAAAGTAGCGGACATGAAAGAAACAAGGGTCAACGAGTTCGAGTAATTCCGTAAAAAATGAATTAATTTCCTCTCTACTTTTTTCCTTCTTTTTAGATATTTATCGATTCAATCAAATACGCCGCTAATTATCCGAAATTATTATCTTTCTGTTCCGCGATAAATATTCGTGCGAATAATTTTCTCGCGAAACGAGGTAGAGCAGAGAGAGAGAGAGAGAGAGAGAGAGAGAGAGAGCAGCACGCTGGCCAATGACTCAATATCCGGCAACTAAACAAAAAACGATAGTTCTCGCCGGCATAGAAGCTATTCAGCTTCAACTACACCTCTCTGCGCGAAAAACAAAAATCTGCGCTCTTTAAAGCTTGGATTCATTCAACATGCAGATTATACGTATTTTAGAGTCGATCGAACGAACCCATCCACACTTTTCTACGTGCAACGCGGCCGTGTCCCATGTCCTTGCTCGAACAACACCGTTCCATCATGGATAAATGAACGGTCGACCCTAATATTTCATCCTATCCGATGTCGCGCTAAATTTTTTCCCTATCGCTACTATCGCTTACGTATGAATAGCTATCGATAGGATCGATATACGCGAACGAAATTTCATGTTAAAATATTCTCGAATATTCGAAAAGGAAAAAAAAAAGAAAAAAAAAAATATCGAGAGAGTTATGCATATTTTCTTTATCAATATTCGATATATTTTTTTTAAAAACACGAATACAAGTTGTATATTTGGTATATAAATATATAGTTGGAAATTTCGTTGGAAAAGAAAGGATAGAAAAAAAGAAAGGAATACAAGAATAATTCGATAAGTTGGTTCGTATCTTATTGCTTATTGCCGTGCACACGTTTCGCCCATTTCGCGATTCTTTTATTTACTTTTCCCCTTCTCCTCTTTCCTCTCTCTCTCTCTCTCTCTCTCTCTCTCTCTCTCTCTCTCTCTCTCTCTCTCTCTCTCTCCCTCCCTCTCCTTTTTTGCAATATCCACAAAACTCATAGACTTCCAATCTGTTTCAGTAATAACCAGAGTAAACGATCGGACGTGACGTCACTGGATTCGAACGCCGAGAAGCCGGACGCTTTGAAATTGTCAGTTTTACAGATGCGCGCCTCTACTATTCGGAGCATGTAAAACGGACAACAGAAGGCCGGCCGGGGCCACGGCCATTACACGTTAATGTTGGACTTTGTTTGCCTTGAAAATTGATGCTCGCTATATACCTCGGCCCTCACCCTTTCAACCTCGCAACCACCGACTCTTGTTGCTTCCTATCCTATTTTTCTTTCTTTCTTTCTTTCTTTCTTTCTTTTCTTTCTTTTCTTTTCCCTCTCTCCTTTTTTTTCCCCTCCTCCGCTTTTCCCTCGTCGCGTTTTTCACGCGCGCAAAACCGATACAACCGTACGTTTTTATCAAAGATCGTTCCGAATACGTGAAAATTCCCCCCTCTCCCACCTTCGTTTTCTCGTTTCTCGCATTTAACAGATAGAGAGAGAGAGAAAAAAGCAAAACACGTCTCGTTCCAAGATATGAAATTTTTTTAACCAAATTTTCCAAGTTTCGATCGTTGGCGTTCGATCATATTCGAAACAAATTTTTCTCGATTTTCTCGAATCGAAAATCAAAGAAATTCCGCGTCCCTTTTTCGCAAAATCCGAGTTTCTTCCATAACAATAACGTTCGTTCAATTATATCGAATTTTATTACCGATATTTTTACCGATGCACGTTTTTTTCTCTTTTTTTTCTTTCGTTCTTTCTTCCTTCCTCCTTTCTACAATATTTGGACGCGGCCTCGGGGAACGGAAAGGTTCCAACCTTATCTACAACGAGGCTGTTCGCTTTACGTTCGAAGCGATGTATACGATAGAGAGAGACGCTTCACGATTTGGAACTAGAACCCGATAGTCGAGTTTTCGAGTTCTAATGAGACAATTTCGAGTTTGAAATGGATCTTTACGGTTTACAGAATATTCGTTAGCATCGTTCAGTTGAATTTTTCGTTCCTCCACTATTAATATAATTTTGGAAAGGAATGTGACTCTCTGCATTCATCGCAGTCATCGACGAACAATGGACGCGTTCACGCGTAAGGAAGACTTGATATTTTGGAAGATGATTTATGAGGATGGCGTCGAATGGAATATCGAAGGAACTCTCATTAGCGTTCAAAGATTCGACGTCGTCATCAATGGACGTTGTTCGTTCAGCTTACATAGACATAGATATTTAAATTTACTTGTTTTTTTCCTTCTTTATTCTTATGCGTGTTTTTTTTAATTTATATAATTTAATATAAATTTTTGTTAAATATTATTGTTTGTTCAATATTGATTTTTATATATATATAGATATATATTTCTTTCGGACGACGAAATGAATGCTTGGAAAATTATAGGCGACAGGTGGTCAATCGTCGTGCGTTTCAAATCGCGATTCTAATTTTTTTCCCAAAGGGATATAACCGGCGCAATTTTGCATACCTATCTTCAAGTGTTTTACGGGTGGACCGTAAAAGATTTTACGACGGAATTGCGCGATAAGAAATTGCAACGCGTAAATTTGGTTTGTCAGATTTATAGTGTTCCATTAACCGAAGACCAAGAGGTAAAATTCTTGGGAAAATTTGAGCCGCACTAGAGATGGATTAATAAAAAATAATCCAACAAAATGGAACATTTTGCTCGGACAAAATTTTAAATTCTTCGACGTAGGTTACTTAAGAATAGAGATAAAAAATGAGCTACACTAGAGAAGGATAAATACCTATCTCCATAAGTAACGTCGTGTTAAGACAAGAGGTAAAATACTTGGAAAAATTTGAGCCATACTAGAGAAGAGATAAATAAAAATATTCCATTAAAATAAATTTACGAATCATTCAAAAATTTTTTGGCGTGTTCCATTAACTTAAGAGAAGAGACGTAAGTTACAATAACGCGATAATAATTAGAACGAGAATCTCGAACACTTACCGATGGTCGTCAACACGGTGAGAGAGTACAGAAACGCCTTGGCGAAGTTCCACTCGTATTCCGGGATCCGTCGTTCCGTGACGGGATCCGTGGCCGAGCCGCCTGCTTGCGTCCCCCCGTTTTGGGTCGCGATCACGTCCTCCGTGATCCTTTTCACCAATTGATCCTGGAAACGCGCGATTTCCTGGGCGGCCAACCTCGTCCAATTCTCCCGGTAAAGGATATTCAAACTCTCCGTGATTATCCATATATTCTCCACCGTCTTCGCCCTTGCCTCGTGCCCGACCTTCAACCAACGCCCTTCCTTACATTCGTCGTAGAAATGAGGAATAAGGAATGGAAAAGAAAATTCTCTCTCTCTCTCTCTCTCTCGCTTCTCGCCACCTTTCTCTTTTTTTCTCTCGCTTTTCTCCACCTCTCTCGCTTTTCTTCATCTTTTTTTTTCTCTCACTTCTCTCCCTCTTTCTCTCGCTTCTCTCCACCTTTCTCTTTTTTTCTTTCGCTTCTCTTCACCTCTCTCTTTCTCTCGATACTTCTCTCTCCACTTCTCTCTCGTTTCTCTCCACTTCTCTCTCTCAGGAACT